GAGTGAAACTGTTCCATAGAGTTTTCAAGGTTGTGACTTTTTGGAAACAGATCACAAGCCTTTTTTCTGAGGTACCTTTGGGTGAGTTCAAACCACTAATCTTTCAGTTATTAGTAATCCAGTGCTTTACCAGGAAGCTCTGGTGACGTAGTGCCTAAGGCATTTGACTGCTAACCAGAAGTCTGGTGGTTCAAATTCACCAGCCATTCCCCAGAAGGAAGGCTGTGCAATCTACTTCCATAGCGATACCACCTAGGAAACCCAAGGAGGGGTCACTATGAGTTGGACCTGACACAACAGCACTGAATGTCATTTGTTTTGGTTTTGTGCTTCACCAATTGCATCAAACAGGAAGTAACTGATCATATACATATATTTCATGTATAAGCATACTAAGTCTTAACTAAGGAGCTTTAGTTGTACAGTGCCTAAGGCATTTGACTGCTAACCAGAAGGTTGGTGATTCAAAACCACCAGCCATTCCATGGAAGGAAGATGGAGCAATCTACTTTGGTAAAGATTTACCACTTCGGAAACCCAATGAAGATTGCTATGTGCTGGAATTGACTTGATGGCAGTGGGTTTTTTAAGTCTTAACAATATTCAATATTTTGTTCAAAATCATCTGGCAAGTAAGTCGCTGAGTCAGAATTCAAATCTTGGTGCATCTGTTTTTAAAACCTACACTTCATACTGTATTATATTTCTTCACAAACAAAGATCTGTTCAGGAATTGAAAGAAACTTTGAAGTAAATTTATTCCCTCTAGGACTTCTCTAGACTTGGATCCACTTCAAATATAATAACTTATAATGAGCCAGTAGGTTTGAAGTGGCTAAGAGAGAGTGGTGGTTTGGAATGGCTGAGGAAGACCAGGAAGTGAACAGAGCAGTTTGGAACACCTAAGAGAGAAAAACTTGTCTGTCACTTTGTCCTACTGTGGTGGCCCGTGTGAGGCCAGAGGCTATGCCACCAGTGTTTCAAATGCCAGGAGGACTACCAATGGTGGACAGGTTTCAGTGGAACTTCCAAACTAAGAGAGACTTGGAAGATGGAAGAGACCATCCACTTCTCAAAGAATTGGCAGTGAAAACCTTATGCATTAACACTGAAACACTTTCTGCTATATTACTGGAAAACTTTATGAATAGACTTGAAACATTGTCCAATATAGTGCCAGAAGAAGAGCCCCTCAGGTCGAAAGGCACTCAAAATATGACTGGGGAAGACCCTTCTGTGAGTGGAGCCAACTTTAGTGATGTGGATAGAGCAAAACTTTTGTTACCTCCATTTGCTGACGTGGCACATCTTAAGATGAAAAGAAACAGCTGCAAATATCCATTAATAATCAGAACATGGAATGTAACAAGTATGAATCTAGGAAAATTGGAAGTTGTCCAAAATGAAATGGAATGCATAAAGATTGATATCCTAGGCATTAGTGAGCTGAAATGGACTGGTTTTGCCCATTTTGAATCAGACAATCACATGATCTACTATGCTAAGAAAAACAAATTGAAGAGGAATGATGTGGCATTCATAATCACAAAGAAAGTATCAAGATCTGTCCTGAAGTAAAATATTGTCAGTGATAGGATAATATCCACACACCCACAAGGAAGACAAGTTAATACCACTGTTATTCAAATTTACACACCAACCACCAAAGCCAAAGATGAGGAAATTGAAGATTTTTACCAACTTCTGCAGGCTGAAATTGACCAAACATGTAATCAAGCTATGTTGATTACCACTGTTGACTGGAATGCAAAAGTTGGAAACAAAGAAGAATCACCAGTAGTTGGAAAATATGGTCTTGAAATACAAAAATTGTAAACAAAGAAGAATCACTGGTAGTTGGGAAATATGGCCTTGATAATAGAAATAATGCTGGAGATCACATGATAGAATTTTGCAAGACCAAAGACTATTCATTGCAAATACTTTTTAAACAACACAAGCAGTGGCTATACACATGGACTTCGCCAGAGGGAGTACAAGGAATCAGATTGACTACATCGTCAAAAGAGGAAATGGAGAAGCTCAGTATCTTCAGCCAAAACAAGGCCAGGAGCTGACTGTGGAACAGACCATCAACTGCTCATTTGCAAGTTCAAGTTGAAGCTAAAGACAAAACAAGTCCACAAGAGCCAAAATATGACCTTGATTATATCCCTCCTGAATTTAGAGACTATCTAAAGAATAGATTTGATGCATTGAACACCAGTGATGAAAAACCAGAGGACTTGTGGGATGACATCAAGAACATCATCCATAAAGAAAGCAAAAGGTCATTAAAAAGACAAGAAAGGAAAAAAAGACCAAAATGGATGTCAGAAGAGACTCTGAAACTTGCCATTGAACAGAGAGTAGCTAAAGCAAATGGACAAAATAAATAAGCTGAACAGAAGATTTCAAAGAGCAGCTCAACAAGACAAAGTCAATTAGTACAATGAAATGTTCAAAGCCTTGGAGTTAGAAAACCAAAAGGGAAGAACACGCTTGGCTTTCTCAGGCTGAAAAAACTGAAGAAAAAATTTAAGCCTTGAATTGCAATATTGAAAGATTCTATGAGCAATATATTGAATAATGCAGGAAACATTTTAAAAAAAGAAAAAGAAAGGTGGAAGGAATACAGACTCACTATACCAAAAAGAACTGGTTGATGTTCATCCATTTTAGGAGATGGCATATTCTCAAGAACCAATGGTATTGAAGGAAGAAGTCGAAGCTGCACTAAAAAGAACTGGCGAAAAACAAGGCTCCAGGAATTGACGGAATACCTATTGAGACTTTTCAACAAACGGATGCCATGCTAGAGGCACTTCTTCCTATGTTTAGAGATTCAAAGACAGGCACCTGGCCAACTGAGTGGCCATATTTGTACCCATTCCAAAGAAAGGTGATCCGACAGAATGTGGAAATTATAGAACAATATCATTAATAAATATCACATGCAAATAAAATCTTGCTGAAGTTAATTCAAAAATGATTGCAGCAGTATATTGACAGAGGAATTTCCATAAATGCAAGTTGGACTCACAAGAGGATGTGGAATGAGGGATATCATAGCTGATGTCAGATAGATCTTGGCTGTAGGCAAAGAATACCAGAAAGATGCTTACTTGTGTTTTATTGCATTCAATTGTGTGGATCGTAACACATTATGGATAATATTGAGAAGAATGGGAATTCCAGAACACTTCATTGTACTCATGAGGAACCTGCACATAGACCAGGAGGCTGTCATTCAAACGGGACAAGGGGATACTGCATGGTTTAAAATCAAGAAAGGAGTGTGTCAGGGTTGTATCCTTTCACCACACTTACTCAATCTGTATACTGAGCAAATAATCTGAGAAGCTGGAGTATATGAAGAAGAACACAGCATCAGTATATTGGAGAAAGACTCATTAACAACCTGTGATATGCAGATGACACAACTTCACTTCCTGGACGTGAGGATGACTTGAAGCACTTACTGATGAAGACTAGACTTCAGTCTGCACTATGGATTACATCTCAATATAAAGAAAACAAAAATCCATACAACTGTACCAATAAGCAGCATCACAACAAATGGAGAAAAGACTGAAGTTGTTAAATATTTCATATTACTTTGTACCTCAGTCAACACCAATGGAAGCAGCAGTCCAGACATCAGAAGATGTATTGCACTGGGAAAATCTGCTGCAAAAGACCTCTTACAAGTGCTGAAGAGCAAAGATGTCTCCTTGAAGACTAAGGTGTGCCTAACCCAAGCCATGGTATTTTCAGTCACCTCATATGCATGTGAGGAGCTCTGGTAGTGCCTAAGGCATGTGACTGCTAACCAGAAGGCTGGCGGTTCAAACCTACCAGTCTCTCCTTGGGAGGAAGGTTGGGCAATCTACTTCCATAGTGATACCACCTCGGAAACCCAAGGAGAGGCGCTATGAGTCAAGTCTGACTCAATGGCACATAACAACAACAACAACACATGCATGTGAGAGCTGGACAACGAATTAGAAAGACTGAAGAAGAGTTGATGCTTTTGAGTTGTGGTGTTGGTGATGAATATTGAAAGTACCATGGACTGCTAAAAGAACTAACAAATCTGTACTGGAAGAAGTACAGCCAGAATGCTTCTTGGAAGCGAGAATGTTGTCAGAAGGGACCATTCCCTAGAGAAGGACATCATGCTTGGTAAAGTGGAGGATCAATGAAAAAGAGGAAGGCACTCAACAAGATGGATTGACACAGTGGCTGCAATGATGGGCTCAAGTATAGCAGGGATCGGGAGGCTGGCACAGGACTGGGCAGTGTTTCGTTCTGTTGTACATAAGGTCACTATGAGTCAGAGATGACTCGATGGCACCTAACAACAACAATGATAAAAATTCATAATAACAATAAAAAAAATGTTTTCAAGTTAATTCGAACTCACAGCCAATCTGTATTTAGCTCTTTCTATGTCCTGGGCATTGTGCAAAGCACTGCATAATATTATTTCATTCAATCTTCTCAATAGCCCTATAGTGTAAATGTTATTATTATCCCCACTTGCATACAGTTGAGGTAACTTAGACCAGTTAGGTAATTTGCAAAATGTCAAAAATAAGAGAAAATATTTCATGCTAAACAGCTTGATCTAAATTGTACTCTTACCCATTGGGCCACCAGAGCTAACATATTACCAAGTGGATTCCTCTTTTCTTCTCCAAGAACAAAAGTGAGTTTCCATACTATGGCATACTCAACCACAATGTTTTCCCAAGATCTCTCCCTCCTCGGTACAATACACAGGCAGTTGGTTGTTTCCCTGCTTACAATATTGAAATTCTGAAGAAAATCATTCTCTTTTCCCTTTTACTGTATGGAGACCAAAGTTATTCATTTTCTCCTCCAAATATTTATGGTTATATGCACTATAAATGAATTAAAATTTAATACTTAAATAATAATATTTATTAAATGAATGAATAAAACTAAATTCTAAAAATTTATTTTAAATCATTTACCCTCCCTGTATCACACTGAGAGCCACTTCGGACCACCATCGGATCTGGAACTGACACATGGAATCTGAAGTCCATAGTTATACATAAAGCATTTCGCACAAAAGCATAAATCACAGCAACATCTTCTTTATGGAAAGGAATTCGAGTAGGGTAGGTACAAATTAATCTTCCACATATAAGATCACTGCAAACATAAAAAAAAATCTGATTACTGTATTTTAGGCATTTATTAGAATGCTTTAGATTTTATTTCTTTGACAAAAAAGAATGATTCCCCTAGTTATGGTGATGCATGTAAAGTGAACGTAATGCTTTAATGTTAACATTTAAAGTAAAATCTAAAAGAAAATATAAAGTCACTGATCCAAGTTCAGTGGTACTGAGAGTCGTTTATTCACTGTGCAGATGATATATTTACTGTTAAATAATCTATTCAATTAATCTTTTTCTGAACATATACTCTGTAGAGGGATGAATAAGTGTGACTCCTATGCTCAAACATCTTACAGTTTAATACTAAGCTTAATACAAATCTCATATAAGTGCTACAAATGAAATGAAATTAACAAATCCCTGTGGAAATTTAAGATGAGGACATATTCTAATTTACCAGTTAGGAAAAACTTAATAAACAAAATGCCACCTGAATCTATGCTGACATGTTGATAGATTTTCAACAGGCATGGTAAAGTATTTCTAAACAAAAGAAATATCCTAAGAAAGACCAAGAAATTACCAAACTAACCGATATGTTTACTAGTTTACAAATTCCATAGGTACAAGGGCCATGTATGTTTTACTAACAAGTAACTAGTTCAGTTTCTTAATAAATATTTAATATAAACAAATTACCAAAATATCAAATAGCTGACTCTTCAGATGCAAGGGGAACTGAACTTCACTGTATAGACACTGGGCCGTCTTCAGCTTGGGCAAGCAACCAAATGGATGGTGATACTATTTTTATAAATGAAAAATGAGCAGGCTTTGAGATGAAAGGGGCACTGGATATTATGAGTTTCCATTTTGGACAGGATTGTTGTTGTTGTTGTTATGTGCCGTCGAGTTATAGCGACCCCTCCTTGGGTTTCCGAGGCAGTATCACTACAGAAGTAGGATTGCTCAACCTCCCTTCCGAGGAGTGGCTGGTGGGTTTGAACTGCCAGCCATCTGGTTAGCAGGCAAGTGTCTTAGCCACTATGCTACCAGAGCTCCTTGGACAGGATTAAGGTGCCTAATTATCACCTACACAGAACTGTTTAAAAAGGAGATAGAAATTTTACCCTGTAGCACAGGAAAGATGTCAGGGATGGAGATTTTGATTTGAAATTCACCATACACATGTGAAGGCTGTTGTGGTAGTTCATTTTGTGTGTCAACTTGGCTAGGCCTGGTTGAATGGCCGGGCAGCTGGATGTAGTTATTCCCCATGATAAGACTGGTAATCAACTCCATGGTGGAATCTACTGTGAGCAGCTGAGTAGCTGCCTTTGGGATGTGGTCTGCTTCCTGTATATAAGGAGAAGCTTTGAGAATGGTCTCTAGTCTATAGCATGCTTGGACCCTGCATGTAGCCATGTCGTTGTTCAGCAGCCCGCCATGCTCTGCCAACCTTGGGACTTTCAATGGACTTGAATGAATGACCTGCCGTGTGGTTTGGTAACATTGGGACTGTGCCATTTTATTTGTTGGACTTGGGCTTGTTAGCCTCAGCAGCCACTAGCTGTCTGAGTAAAGAGATGCCTCTAGCTTCAGTGGGCCGGGAGCAAGAGGCAGAGCTGAAGCCCAAGGTCGAGGGGCTTTCACACAGCCCCTAGAGCCTGGAACTTTGAACTTCGACTTAAAGCCTCCAAGTTGTGAGAGAATAAACTCCTGTTTGTTAACGCCATCCCATTTGTGGTATATTTTCTGTCAGAGTGGCACTAGGTAACTAGAAGAGCTCTCATGCTTGGTAAAGTAGAGGGTGAGTGAAAAAGGGGAAGACCCTCAACAAGATGGATTGACACTGTGTCTGTGACAATGGCATCCAGTATAGCAAGGATTTGGGTGGGGCACAAGACTAGGCAGTGTTTCGTTCTGTTGTACATGGGGTTGCTGTGAGTTGCAGCCAACTTAACAGCATCTAACAACAACAAAACCACATACATGTGATACTTGAAGCCACTGGAGTAAATGACATACTAAAGAGGGAGAGAAAAAGAACTAAAAAAATAGAAGTATCTTTCATATTTGTATAACATACCTCCATGGACAAGGTTCATATCCATATACATTGCCATACCCACAGTTCCCAAACCTGTCACGTTGAGGTTGGATTTCTTCATAGCAGGCAAATGGTGCATTTCTTGAACCTGTCAAAGTTAGAAATGTATTTGGATCAAACACTCTTTCATTTGCCTCCATTTCTTCACATATTATATGTTTCCTTTGCCTTTTTCTCCATTATTACCTAATTCAAAAAGTTTCCAAGTGAGGTTATTAAAAAAAAAAAAAGTAAAGTAAAAGGCAATGCTCATGGATATTCCATTTTCCTCATTTTCAATGATTTCCATCAAAAATGATAACATGGGGACGCCTATTATAGAAGCATAAATCATGAGATGGCTCTGTGATAAAATGCAATAGAGAGGTAACACAAGAAAACATACTTGTTCACTTAGATTCTGAGTGGGAACTCATAAAAAGCCAGGTCTGTAATACTTTACTGAAGAAATGTCATTGCATCCTCAGGAAATCTAAATTGAAGGGACAAACCTACCAACCTATATATTTACCTATCTCTTCCATTACTGTAATAGTTTTTGTTACTGTGTAAAAAATTACCACATACTTAGTGGCTTAAAACAACATCTATTTATAATGTAACAATTTCTATAACTTAGAAGTCCAGCAAGGCATAGGTGGATTCTCTGCTCTGAAACTCATAGGGTAAAATCGAGTGTTGACTAGGGTCACAGCCATTTCTGAAGTTGCAATCCTCTTCTGAGCTCACTTGTTAGTATAATTCAGGTTTTTTTAGTTGTTGGGTCTAAGGTACCCACTCTATTGATAGCTGTCTACCAGGGGTTGCTCTCAGCAACTAGAGACTGACCTCAAGTCCTAAGCATATGGTCCTCTCACAGCATGGCAACTTACTTCTTCAAACTCAGCAAGAATGTCTCTGACTTCTCCCATCTTTTAAGGGCTCAAATAATTAGGTCAGACCCACCCAGAATGATCTCCCTTTTGATTACCTCAAAATCAACTGATTATGGATATTAATTACATCTTTAAAATTCCTCACCTTTACTAAGTAATTTTATTACAGCAATGATATTCCATCATAGTTAACAGCTCTTTCTTCCCCAATTCAAGGAGAGGGGATTATCCAAGGCATGTACACCAGCAGAATCTTGGGAGGTATCTAAGAATTCTGCCTAGCACAATTGTCACCTCAAAAACAAGCCTCTCTAAACTTAACTGTCTCATCTACAAAGGTACATAATAATATTTACCACATTGGATCGTTATGATAATTGATTATGATGATGTTTATATACTCACTGTCAATTCCCATCTAATCCATATCCCATGAGTTCTGGTGGTGCTGTGGTTAAAGCTGCTAATCTAAAAGATCAGCAGTTCGAACTCACTAGCTGCTCTGTAGGAGAAAGATGAAGCAGTCTGCTTCCGTAAAGATTTACAACCTTGGAAACACCTATAGGGCAGTTCTACTCCATTCTATAGGTTGCTATGACTTGGAATTGACTCAAAGGCTTTTGGTTTCCATCTCCCTTTTAACATCAGGAGGGTTCCTCCTGTTTACATTCTTCTTCCATGACTTATATGTTTTCCTTTCCATGATTCTTTTTAATTCTTCACCTATCCGTAATTCTCTTTCTGCCATCTCTAAACATTGGTTCAGCAAAGAAGCTAGTATAGATACCAAGAAGATAGGCAATGTTAGTTGTGTGTGCTCACAATGTTTTACCAGTTCAATCATGAATCAGAGACACCATATAAGGAATGCCAATGCAAAGCGTGTTGAACACCAATAGACTATGCAGGGAAAATCAAAATTTGAGGATCTACTGTACAAAAATATGTTTAGTCAAAGAATAATCAAATGAATTCTGCTGAAAGTAATGCTCTTCATCCAGTCCACTTGTTATTAATCCATCAACAGTATCTAGAAGTACCACTGAGCTCCTATACTTAATTTCCCCCTACAAAACCCACTCTCACTAGTATTAGGGTCTCACTTTCTTCCATATCAATTTTGGCTTTCCAAGGGGAGATGTTATTATTTGCTATTAAGTTAGCTCCGATTCATGGGAAGCTTATGTATAACACAACAAAATGTTGCCCAGGCCTGCACCATCTTCATGATCTTTGGTGTTTAAAGTCCATTGTTGCCACTATTGTTTCAATCTACCTCATTGAAGGTTTCCCCATGTCCACAATTTTACCATGTAATTGACTCGATGGCAACTGACAACTACTTTAGCAACATGATGTCCTTTTCTAGCAAATGCTCTTTCCTGAGGATGTGTCCAAAGTAAACAGCACCAAGTCTCACTATCCTTGCTTCTAAGGGGCATTCTGGTTGTATTTTTTTAAGACTGATCTCTTGATTTTCTAGAAGTTCACTACATAGTCAATATTCCTTGCCATCACTACAATTCAAAACATCAATTATTTTATCTTCTTTTTTCATTGTCCAGCTATCGCATGCATATGAGGCTACTGAAAAGAGAAGGATTTGGTTCAAGCTCACCTTAAGCCATCAAAGTGACATTTTCTATTTAAAACTTTGTTGTTGTTGTTGTTGTTAGATGCCATCAAGACAGCTCTCAGTCGTAGTACAACAGAACAAAACACTGCCCAGTCCTGCTCCATCCTCACAATCCTTGCTATACTTGAGCCCATTATTGCAGCCACTGTGTCAATACATCTTGTGGAGAGTCTTACCCGTTTTCTCTGACCCTCTATATCACACACCACATAATATCCTTCTCCAGGGAATGGTCCCTTCTGAGAACATGACCAAAGTAGGTGAGATGAAGTCTAGGCATTTTCACTTTCCTGTAGCTTTATAGCTGCATTTCTTCCAGGATAGATTTGTTCATTCTTCTGGCAATCCATGGTATTTTCAGTTTTCTTTGCAACAGCACAATTCAAAGGCCTTCCTTATTCACTGTCCAGCTTTCACATGGATATGAGGTGATTGAAAATATCATGGTTTGGGTCAGTATACGTTACTCTTCAAAGTAACATCTTTGATCCTTAACACTTTGTTGTTGTTATTGTTGTTATGCGCTGTCAAGTCAGCTCCGACTTATAGCAACTCTGTGTACAACACAATGAAACACTGTCTGATCCTGTGCCAGCCTCATAATCTTTGTTATGCCTGAGCCCATCGTTGCAGTCACTCTGTCAGTCCATCTCATTGAGTGCCTTCCCCTTTTTTGTTGACCCTCCACTTTACAAAGCATGGTGTCTTTCCCCAGGGAATGGTTCCTTCTGACAACAGGATGAACATAGTTGAGACAAAGTCAGGCCATTGTCACTTCCAAGGAGTGCTCTGGCTACACTTCTTCCAGGGCAAGATTTATTCATTCTTTTAGCAGTCCATGGTACTTTCAGTATTCTTTGTCAATGCCACAACTCAAAAGCATCAACTCTTCTTTGGTCTTCCTTGTTCATTGTTCATCTCTCACATGTATATGAGGATTGGGTTAGGCACACCTTAGTCTTCAAGGAGGTGTCTTTGCACTTCAGCACTTGAAAGAAGTCTTCTGCAGCAGATTTGCCCAGTGCAGTATGTCGTGTGATGTCTTGATTGCTGCTTCCATTAGTGTTGACTGTGGGACAAAGTAATATGAAATCTTTAACAACTTCAATCTTTTCTCCATTTATTGTAATGATGCTTATTGGTCCAGTTGTGAGGATTTTCATTTTCTTTATGTTGAGATGTAATCCATACTGCAGCCTGAAGTCTTTAATTTTCATCAAAAGTGCTTCAAGTCATCCTCACTTACAGCAAGCAAAGTTGTGTTGTCTGCATATCGCAGGTTGTTAGCAAGTCTTCCTCCAATCCTGATGCCATGCTCTTCATAATATAGTCCAGCTTCTCAGATTACTTGTTCAGCATACAGATTGAATAAATATGGTGAAAGGATACAACTCTGATGCACTCCATTCCTAATTTTCAACCATGTAGTATCCCTTTGTTCTGTTTGAACAACAGCCTCCTGGTCTATGTACAGGTTCCTCATGAGCACAATCAAGTGTTCTGGAATTCCCATTATTCTCAATATTACCCATAATTTGTTTTGATCCACCCAAGCAAAGGTTTTTGCTTAGTCAATAAAACACAAGTAAACATCTCAGTTATTCTTTGCTTTCAGCCAAGATCCATCTGACATCAGCAATAATATCCTTCATTCCATGTCCTCTTCTGAATACAGCTTGCATTTCTCAAAAGTTCTGTCAATATACTGCTGCAACCATTTTTTAATTATCTTCAGTAAGATTTTACTTGCATGTGACATTAATGATATTGTTCAATAATTTCCACATTCTGTGGGATCACCTTTCTTTGTAATGGGTATAAATATGGATCTCTTCCAGTCAGTTGGCCAGGTAGCTGTCTTCCAATTTCTTGGCATAGACAAGCTAGTGCCTCCAGTGTGGCATCTGTTTGTTGAAATATCTCAATAGGTATTCTATCAATACCTGGGGCCTTGTTTTTTGCAGCTTCTTTCAGTACAGCTTTGACTTCTTCCTTCAATACCATTTGTTCTTGATCATATACCACCTCCTGAAATGGATGAACATTGACCAATTCTTTTTGGTACCCATCCTTTTTGTGTATTTCTTCCATCTTCTTTTGATGTTTACTGAATCATTCAATATATTGCCCATAGAATCTTTCAATATTGCAACTCAGAGCTTTTATTTTTTTATTCAGTTCTTTAAGCTTGAGAAATGCTGAGCATGTTCTTCTCTTTTGGTTTTCTAACCCCAAGTCTTTGCACATTTCATTTTAATAAATGACTTTGTGTTGTCGAGATGCTCTTTGATATTTTCTGTTCGGCTCTTTTATCTTGTCATTTCTTCCATTTGCTTTAACTACTTTCTGCTCAAGGGCAAGTTTCAGAGTATCTTCTGATATCTATTTTGGTCTTTTCTTCCTTTTCTGGCTTTTTAATAACTTTTTGCTTTCTTCATAAATGATTTTCTTGATGTCATCCCACAATTCCTCTGGTTTTCAGTCAGTGGTGTTCAGTGCATCACATCTATTCTTTAGATGGTCTCTAAATTCAGGAAGGATATAGTGAAGGTCATATTTTGGCTCTCATGGACTTGT